CATAAACTTGACTTTCTACTTTCAAATAAAAGTGAAATTAAATACAGAATTTCTTTTTTATTTAGTAATTTTTGTCTTTATTAATATATTTAAAATTTAACTTGAAATTTTAATCGTAATTTTTCTAAAATTATCTCCAATAAAATTAGTTTTCGTAATTTCATAAATATTACGTGCAAATACTAAATTATATATAATTATTTACGGAACTTAATTTTTATATTATATAATATATTAATATATGTAAAATTATATAAGTAATTGTACTTAATTTACTTTTTTTTAGTGAAATTTAAGAAATTTGGCAGACGATTTGGAAGTAATTTACTTATAAAACTATAAAAATTTTACGAAATGTTTTGACCTAATTCAGACGTTTCTGTTTAATTCCTTTAAATATCACAATTATTTTTAATAATTGAAGGCTTTGGATTAAAAAAATAAATTGTTTTAACAATAGATTTAATATAAAATTTAAAAAAATCCATCTATATAAGTCTGACTTTTCCCAAAAAGCTATTTAAAAATCGAACCTCGCGACATTAAGATTGGATAAATACTGTAATTGCAGCATTAGACGATAACACAAATACATTACGTTAATTTCGATACAGTGGATTGACGGTCTGATAGGATATACAAAGCAACACGTGGGAGATTTGCCAATGGAGGATGTCTTCTATGAGGGATTTTTATGGATATTGGCTCATATTTAGGTGTTATACGTGTGAAGAAAGTCAGAAATCTTCACGGGATCAGCCAGTTTCGAGGCTCAATGTTTTGTGGTATTATCCACTCGGCCGTTGGTATATTCTTAGATTGATTAGAATGAAATTTACGTGATTATACATTAATAAGTAAAGGAAAGAAATGAAAACACCACTTATAAATTTAGATTAAGGATACCCCTCTCATGACATTAAATATAATGCAAATAATGTAACATGATATAGATTAAAAGTCCTGTTTCGCATCGTGGTGTTTGAGGAATGAATGAAGATAAATGCAAAATAACAGAAATGGTCATTCATAATCCTTCTGAATTTCAATTATATTATCATTTATTTATCTATTTGCTTCTAGGTAAATAGCAGCTAAGTTAGCAAACCTATTATATAATGGATTTTTTTAAATGAAACGTTTGGTTTATTTACTAGCCTAGAATATCCATTGTTTTAATCGCTCTAATATATTCCTTTATTAATTTTGAATAAGGAAATTTTGATTTTTTTATTTATTTATAAAATTTTTAAGTTTTGCTTATGTCAGAGCTACCGAACGAACCAGTTACTCCAGGTGTTCTAATCCGTGTAGTTCTCTCTGATCTCGTGTCACAAGGCATGTGGTGAGTTCGTAAAACAACGTTCGATAATTGCATTGTCTTTATAAACTCGTATGTGCCGACGAGTTTATAAAGTGTTACAATAATTACAATACCTTGTGTTACAACTTACTGCAATCCGTAAGTTGTAACACAAGGCCCGAACGTGACGTACTTGGATCGGACAGAACATCTCAAAAACTGGTTAAATTCCTTATGTTTAAACATTTCTATTATTACAACATTATTACTATTATGCTGTAAATAAATGTATGAGGATGTAATCATACAATAGATTGTAGTTTAAGAATCTATAATTTATTTCGTCGAATGCTATTGCACAAACCTGATGGCTATAATTTAAAATAATTATTTTAAATTATTGCAAAGTACAATTTTGAAACGTAAACTTTATTTTTAGTGAAAGATAATACAAGGTAAGATGAAGTTGTTTCATTTCTCCATTGTTTATACTCCTTGATTAAGAGTATAAACACTGCTTTAAATTAATAATTAAAATATTGTTGTTCGTGTACGCACGTCTCGTATCTGTAATTTGCCAGTGTATGTGCGTGTAATTTAGTGTTTTTCAATTTTTTTCTTTCGGCATCCCTACTTCATCAGTGTAAAGTTATTGCGCTTTTTGTACTATGTATTGCGGTAGCCCAGAAGTGTTCTTGTAGCATCTTAGTGTACGAAGCACTCAGAGCTCACCTATGGCCGAGTGGATAAAACTATTGAACGCTGGTACTGGTCATGGGTTCGCGTGTCGCCAATGGTCTTGCCAACCGAATTTTTTTGATTTGTGTCACGAGTCTAACACCGAAATAATGGCTATTATCCCACAGAAAATCCTCCCAGGATGGTGTTTTGTGAATTATTGAATGAATCAAATTCTAGTATATTATGATCGTCATATAACTGAAAGTTTTGTCATATAGGTCTGAAATCGTCCCGAAAATGCTGAAACAATTTTTCAGCAGTCTTGCAGGCGCTTGTTTTTATGGTAAAATGTAGAAAGTAATTTTAAGAAGGGTTTATTAGGAGAAATTAGCTGATTTGTCTCATACTATCATCCGACCATGCTCAAAGAAAATATGTTTGTGGCCTTTTCTAAGTTCGAAGGTTGGATATTTCACTGCCAATTACCGAAAAAACTATATGAGTCTAAAAGGTTAGCATTCATTTAGGAATCGCAGGCGACACACCATAACGATATCCATGTAAATAAGTCATTAAACAGTTTGTTGATTGTGTAACGTTAACTTACGTTGACAAGTATAAAATAAGTAGAATATACGTACAGTTACTGGGTAAACTTTATTGAAAGTAACAAAGAACAAAGTACCTACACGAGTGACCAGCACGAGGTCTAACACAAAAGTGGTTCTGGCGGAGAGGTAGACTAAGGATATATTCCACGAGCAGTAGACAAGGCTCAGCGCTATCTATCGGCAGTCAGGCCACCCATCTAACCACACGCACATGTGACAGATTGTACAACAATCGAGAATGCTTTTATACTTATGAACACTACTGTAAAAAGGCCCATTAGTGGATCAGGGGATAAAATCATCGAATACAAGTAGTCGGTCATGTTCAGCATCGAGTTATCCGGTATTTCAACCCGTGTATAACACTCGTACGTTCTACACGTGTAGCGAACTCGTGCGTCAAAATCTCACAGAACAATTTTGCAACCGACAGATAGCACAACAAGGATATCACAACTATGTTTTCCACACAAAATCCACTGGATTTTTCTTTAGGTTAACCTTAAAGCAACAGTATACAAAACGTACGGTACCTAGCCATTTGGTAACCGGCAAAATGTTATTAGGATAGTGACATCAGATATGATATGTGCCACTCTAAATCCTGCATCCCTTTCGTATTGCTGTTGAGTGCAATCTTTTTTAACATATACTATAGAAAAATAAAGCTAACTGTTTTGGTATTAAATTACGCAGTGCTGGTTTCTATTCTTTATAGTCAGTGATTCTATATACTTCGTGATAAATCTTCTTAAGATAATACTTCTTTATTATTCTCGTTGTCAGAAGATATGAAAAAATTTACCTATTGCCTTCGACCTATAGAACAATTTACACGTGCAATTTTATTGAACGAATTAATTTATTTTACTGTAAACATCTCAGTGCAACTAATGCATTATATGATGAAGACGTACAATTCTGTAAAGAACTCTTTTGTCATTAAGATAATGTTAATAAAAACACACTGTATTCTGAATAATGTAAAATAATATTACATGTAGTGTAAAGTAGTATTACATGTAGAATGTAGTGAAATATAGAATATTTCACTACATTCTAAGAAATCTGTTATCATAATTATATAATAATTTTAAGTAATTTTTGGAGTAGTCAATACTATTGTTAGAAATATTTTCGCGAAATATAAACGTTCTTTAACACAAAAATATTCATATTTTAGGCAACGAAATTAAGAGAATTCTTCAAGACCATTGAAACTTTAAAATGAACGTGGAGTGTGTAAGAGAAAACCTTTGCAATGTTTTCAAGAAGATCGGAAATATGGTCGGACGACATCCATATTATTTCATCGCTTTACCTGTACTTCTTTCCATTGTTCTGTCTCCATTCATTGTAAGGTCATTATCGAACAAACATTTTTATAATATAATAACTACTGATACTGGAAAAATAGCTGATACAAAGAAATTTGTAGAGAATACTTTTGCATACGATTCAGCTGAATTTTCAGACCAAATAAGAGCACCCGATTTCCCCCGCTGCCTCTTGATTTACTTCTTGAAGAAAGATGGCGGAAACATGCTCGATAAAAATGTTTTTACAGAAATAAGATCTGCCGACGAAATCATACAAAATGTAACATTCGACAGCCACGGGAAACAAATAGGTTATTCTGATTTGTGCGGTTTAAAAAATAATAAATGTTTCCAAAATCCGATTATCGAAGTAATGTCGGAGGTAGGTATAGACTCAATAGTTCAAAAAAGAAAGAAGTTAAAATATCCCATAGATATAGATTTATTATCATTATCTTATAAGATTTATTTTGTAAATTTGGGAGGAGTGACACTGGATAATGACAATTTTGTAGACAGCATCGAGGCCATGTTGTTACTTTATTCGACTGATGATAAAGACGAAGAAAAAAGGAATTTATTTGAGAAATGGTCTTTTTCTGTGTATAGCGCGATTCAACAATACAATTTCACCTATGTGATTGTCTTTCCAAATTCTCCTTTGTTTGTAAGAGNTGCACGAATTTCCTAAATTCTCTGCATGTATTAATTATTTTAAATGTTTAACAGAGCTATTTTCCTTTTACGTTTTCAAATACGAATCATTGTACACGTGTGAAGTGTCGAAACAGTCAGTGAGGAGTCAGAGATCAAGTTCAAAAGTATACGCTTTGACAGTCCTAAAATACAATTCCAGTACAGGGACTGGAAATCTTTTCTCAGTCCAGTCTATAGGAACTTGATCTATAGCTCCGTTTCATCACTTAAACTACAAGGTGTGATACATCTGTACAATCAGCAAACTTAGGAATACATTAGGAAGCATTATACCAGATAAGAAGCGCGAGAGTATTTACAAGAAATTGTTATGTACTATACATATATTCCCTATTTAGTACTTGGTAAGGTAATTAGATTATATATTATAAACTGTTTAATTACAGTGTAGTTATATTAATTATTAAAACATTATTACAGTTACTGAGATTGATGATGCATTCTTGTTGTTGGGATGTTGGAGAGTCACCAATCCCAAGCATAAAGTTGTGAAGCGCATGGAAGCGACATACTGTGAAGCAGGAATTTCTATTATGTTAACTTCACTTACCAACTTCATTTCTTATTGCATAGGAATGATGGGTCCATTTCCTTTTGTTAGAATATTCTGTTATTACGCAGCTACTTGCATTATATTCACTTTTCTGTATCAGATAACGTTTTTCGGGGGTTGCCTAGCGTTAAGTGGATACAGAGAAGAGAAGAATCTTCAGCCATTCGAATTTATATGTGGTAAGTAAAGTAATTTATGTCCACGATAAATTTTTGTTATGAATTTTGTTATAAAAGGTTTTTATATTTTTAATTATTATAAAATGGCAAAAAGCTTAATCCTGACGGTAGAAGTGAGTTTTATAGAAAAGTTGAAATGCTTATAACGAATAAAATGTTCATTAAGTCCTACCCCTTTATATAACATACGATACATAACAAACACCCCTTTATCTCCTCACATTGTCGGTTTTTAACAAACAAAATTTAATAACATCAATGCCTCTGACATAAAACATTACAAATCGAAAAAGAACCTGAACTGACAGGCAGTTTTTAGGCTCACACTCTCTGTAATCGGGAACTCTCTATCGTTGCACATATCTATGAAAATAGTGGCCGGATTATCACGAGTTTGGCTTACATTGTTTGAAAATAATAGAATAAAATTTATTTTAAATTTTTATTATGGCTAAAATTTAGACAGAAAATGATATATCTGATATGTATTCAGGAGACACATCGGACAGATTCGATATTTGCAGTGAGGATTTTACTGTTGTGATGTAAAGTATGAATACCATAATTTGGCAGCTTTTAGTGCAATAAAATTGTTTACAGTTTCGTGAGTGATAACGTCTAAACATTGTTATCTGAACTCGATTTTCAGTTATTAAAGCTATATTAAAATTTGAATAAAGCTATATTAAAATTTTGAACAGAATATTGTAACTCATTAAATATTAAATCTTTACCAGCAGTTATAAGAATACTTAAAATTTATTTTTAATTCAGACTGCTATTTTATTAATCTAGTTTATTGATTCTATTGATTTAGAACAACCGGAGGAAAGTCCTCGGAAGAACAATAGAATACGAGAAGAGGTTTCTATGGTTTTTTTTAGAGATGTATTAGGGAAAATACTTTCGAATCCAGTAGCAAAGGTCATCGTAATTTTCATCTACTTGACTAATTTATCATTTGGAATATGGAGTTGTCATTCAATTACACACGGTATTCAGTATGAACGTTTATTTCCCAAAGGTTCTTTACTTAGGAAAAGTTCTCAAATTAGACTCAAGTACTTTACAAGTCACGCCTATCCTTTCCAAATAATTATTAATGAAACTTTGGATTATTCAGATAAAAAAGTGCAAGAATCCATAGAAAATCTTTTGAAACGATTCGAGCAAAATCCTCATGTTGCAGAAGAACAATACACCGTATCATGGTTAAAGTTTTATATGGAGTTCCAGAGTAATCCTGTTGCAAGATTTTCGTTAGGAGGTTATAACATGTCGAACAAACAAGACTTCATCGATGGTCTTCGTAACGTTTTCTTCAGAATACACGCAGCCAAGTCACTATCTAATGACGTCGTCTTTAACGACAATGGAACCGACATCTTATACAGTCGATTTTTTGTCATGGGTAAAAATTTGAATTCTTCCCAAGTAGATGGAGACACTTTGAGAGAATTATGGGAAATTGCCGAAGATTCCGAGTTTCCCGTACTAGTGCATTCTCTTAAATCGAGCGTACTAGATCAAGGCATTGTAATTGAAAACACTATTAACCAATTGTTTTGGATCACAGCAGTTTTGATAACTGCGTGCTTCTTATTGGTCGTTCCTAACTTCTTTGTTGCTATTACTGTCGCCATTTCTGTCGTTTCTGCAATAATAGAAACGTTGGGTTTCATGTCGTTATTGGGAGTCAATCTGGATATCTTCTCTATGATGAGCCTTATACTGTGCGTTGGATTTAGCGTTAATTACCCAGCTCACATGTCTTATGCTTATGTTATGTCGTCCAGCAAAACTTCGAACGATAAAATGAAGGATTCTTTGTATCTTGTTGGTTTTGCCGTCCTTCAAGGATCTTTATCTACAGGACTGGGAATATTGACTCTGTATTCTGATGTATACGTGCTATCGACATTTGTCAAAATTGTCATTCTAATTTCTATAGAAACAGCATTTCATGCATTGTTTTTCATCCCTGTTGTACTTTCCATCATCTTTTCCGTGTTCAAAGGCATGAAGAATATTTAACAATTAATACTGTTACTTCGTTTTATAACTTTATACTGTATTAATATGTTTAATATTAATATATGGATATAGTATTGATATATAACCTTGTTAATAAAATTAACTGTTTTATACAAATGATGTTTCCTTTTATTATGGTTAAATAGAATTTAAACAGTTAATAACATTTTTTAATTTCTAGTTAATTATATAATGTCTGTATTTTCATCAGCAGCCCAAACATTTGATATAGCATTTCGTAAGATTTATTATTTTTCAACAAGTTAGCTCACTTACATACTCAGTCAGCTGAGATTGCACGAATTTCCTAAATTCTCTGCATGTATTAATTATTTTAAATGTTTAACAGAGCTATTTTCCTTTTACGTTTTCAAATACGAATCGTTGTACACGTGTGAAGTGTTGAAACAGTCAGTGAGGAGTCAGAGATCAAGTTCAAAAGTATACGCTTTGACAGTCCTGAAATGCAATTCCAGTACAGGGACTGAAAATCTTTTCTCAGTCCAGTCTATAAGAACTTGATCTATAGCTCTGTTTCATCACTTAAACTACAAGGTGTGATACATCTGTACAATCAGCAAACTTAGGAATACATTAGGAAGCATTAATCCAAATAAGAAACGCGAGAATATTTACAAGAAATTGTTATGTACTGTACATATATCTTGATTTTTCGGATGAGCAAAGAATTAGATAGTATCAACATCGGCACAGAAATGAACAGCACTGCACAAGGTACAATAGCCTAATTATTTCAAATGCACGTTTGTAATTTTAGTTACTACTTACTGGCAATGTTACTAAATTTCTGATGCACATAGCAAGATAGTCAATGAGGGTGGCATTATTATTCAGGGTGGCGCCAATATCCTATTTTCTTTTCCTCTATGAAGGAAAATTTGGAATAAGTAGTGATTATTTAGTACAGTTTCTTGAGTAATGACTAACCAAGTAGATAGTGGCATTTTACTCTCGGTAAGAATGTCTTTTTAAACGCTTGACTGAATATTAAAACAATAACGGCGTATAGCCGTTCACTATAGTGCCTCCAATTGGCCTATTTATAAAGTAGTATGGATTAATTAATGAAGACATTCCAAACAATTATAGTTTAGAAAAATGGAGTAAATACTCCTATATACAGGGTGGTCCATTTTAATACGTACACAATTACTTTAAAATACGCACCCCACAAATAATTATTGAACCAAAAATATTAGACATCAAAGGGGTCACAAGATGTGCTATCTGATTCATTATAGTTAGCTCTAGAATGGATGAAACAGGGTAAACTTCAATCCTTAAATGGAAATTCCCAGACTTTATTGCACATTAAGATTCTATATTAAAAAAAAGTCTAGTAGTAGTAATAGTCTGGCCACATGAAGTGTTAGGTTTTTTTCATGTTTGTAAAACCTAAATCGGGAGGTATACTGTCTCCACCCATCGTCCACGTGTCTGATTGCCATATACAAATAAACCAAACCAAACGAAAGCTTACTTATAGCAATGTTAAAATAATTTAATACATGAGATTACACGGAATTATATATATATATATATATAAACTTTTTATAGTTGTAAAATTTTCTTTATAGAAAATAACTCTGTCCGTAATCCTCATAGAATATGCAGTTTTGCAATTATTGTGTCACGTATGTTACTACATATGCAACAGTATTTCGTAGACAATAGAATTGTACATAAACGGTTCTATTACTGGAAAGCAATGACATTAATATTTCTATTGCCAATTACAAAAAAATTTCATCATATAATTACATAAGTAAAAGTTAATCTAGCGAAGCCAGAGTTTAATTTCTAAAAAGGAGTTTAAAGTTTGAAAATTGTTTTTGTGGAAACTACCCAGATATACAGGCAACTATTCATTTCGTATATTATATATATATATATATTTTCGTGACTTTATAATATTACACAATTTTTGTGTGCGTTTTAGCGAGGACTGTATTTACGTCGTTGGAATTCTTCACACAATTTTCCATTCCTTTTTTTTTAATTCCTGCTTCTACAAAAATACAATCACAACGACTGATAATTTGGAACCTGGATGTACGGATGTTATGTCCATGAATATATCAAACTTATCTTTTCAAAATTCATTGGATCTGGACGGAAAAGTTCACAATCAAAACAGTGACTCAAATAGGGATATTTTCCAGGGGATAAATGCAATGTTGGAGAACACGCTTGACTTGTCAAATCTACCAGAACAATATGGGAAAACCACCCAAAGCTGTCAGTATTCAGTGGCAGACTTGTTAGGCTTGAATGGAAACACTCATTCAGTTTTTCAAAGTTCCAATTTACATCCATCTTATGGAATGTCTAATGTGATGTTAAATTCTATGCAAAGTGGATTATCCAACATAATGTCTTCAAACTACAACACAAACAATTCAAATTTAAGAAGATATGATTATGGCAACGTTCAATTTTCTGATAACCCATTAAAAGCAAGATGTTACAACAAAGCATTGGAATAAATTCCACTGGTCTCGGAGCAATTAAAGCTTCCTCTTATCAATGCGAACAAAGAAGTCCCACTATTGAGCAGGCCATTTTAATGGGATGCGATGATTACCGAACAAGTCGTAGTACTTCTACTGATTTTGCTACTAAGAAAATAAAACCAGCAGTGAGTTGTTTAACTTTCCCGGCAGTATTTGGCGTCGCCATCTGTTTATATTTTATGATATTTTATTTTTTAAAAAAAAACATTTGTATTATTAATCAAAATAAATAACTAAAATTGTACGTGGCGCCATCTTTTATGATCATTTTGTTATAAAAATTTTATATATTTTTAATTATTATAAAATATCAAAAGATTTAATTTTGAGGGTAGAGATGGGTTATATATAACACTGTAAATGCTAATAACAAATGAAATCTTCATTAAGTCTGACTCCTCACGCGATCTGACAGGCGACCACCCTCTATCTCTCCATCCCCTTGACCTTATACAACGAAAATTTAATAGCATCAATGCCCCTTATATACAAGCTATCGTGTCAAATTTCGTTTCTTTATCTTCACCCAGTTCTAAGATATTGATTTTTTTTAAAATTGTTTTTTGGTATATTTAGAAATAAAGCGCTAAGCATTTAATAGCATTCTGATAGATTTACATACTTTTATGGAAAAATGTTAATGATTTATTACAAGTTTATAAAACAAAAAGCAATCTTAAATGGAAGTAATTGTCGTAAATCTCCCCTTACACTCTCATACTAGAGTTATTATTATCGATAATTTCTATTATCAATGATCATAGTGTAAACTAAGATCCTTTTTAATACGTTATGTAATGTCGATTAGTGACAATCAATGTGTTTTCTATTCTCATAAATAACCATTAAAATCATTTTAGTAGTAATAACGAAATAATATATGAATCTTCTCTTGCATTAATGTATAAAAAGAATAAGGTAATTCTAAGTAGATTGTATAGTGATGTTAAGAGTGTGCAGTATCTGCGTGTAAAATGATTAAGACTTAATATTATAGAAATTTAAGACAGTCTCTGCAGTTAAAAGTAGGCCATCTACTTCGAACTTATGTTTGAAGAAGTAATTCTTATTAAAATCCGGAAGACGAAACATAAAGGAAGAAAGTGAATTGAATGCATATTTGCAATTAAAATATAGAAGCGGAAATGCCAATGCGAATTGTTGGTGTTTAAATTACGTAAGTACAATTAAATTTCTTTGTAATTGCAAAACCATTTATTAGAATAATGCGTTATATACAGTAGAACCTCGAAAACTCGACCTAATGTGGACCGAAGGGTGGCCGAGTTTGTGAAAATGCCGAGTTATCGGGAATGGGGTTAAAAAAAATAAGTACGAGTATTTCCTCAGAAATACTGTACTGTACTTGTACAGTATTTACTTGTACAGAATATAACAGAGAATAAACTGCCCAAATACCCTTAAACAAAGGAAAAGTACGTCCTTTATGAAGGCATAGAGCCACTACATGAAAATGAAAATTAATGAATACACTGTGTACATATTAATTTACCTGATAAGACAGACCTCAGAAAAATACTTTATGAGAGCTTTTATACTTTTATAAAGCTGTCTATAATGAAAATTAATTAACTAAGGATTTTTTCGCCCTGCCAAGGTGTGGACCAGTTATCCGGAGTGCTAAGTTATCGAGGGACGAGTTTTCGAGGTTCTACTGTATCACACATAATTAATATAAATGATTGACTTTAGACAGTAAAAATAATTAATAATAGAGTATCTTCATTTATACTATCGCAAACAATAATTAATGTTGTGGGTAGGCTCTACGAAAGTTTGGTATATAAGAACAGGTGTTAGAGCTGGCCTCTATATCCCATAGTTTGCATTTTTGCTTTTTTTCGAACAAAATTCCCAGTTAACCTCATTCTCGACAGCATAGAAGATATTTATATTAAGAACCAGAAATTATTAATCATATTTTTAATTTAAAATGTATACTTTTTACTCCAAATTAGTAGTTCTGCCCGTGTACATCATACTCTTCCGATGTACACTGGCACACATTTATTGTTTGCGATAGTGTACAAGTATTGTTTGCAATAGGGTTATACTGGTCATCCATAGATTTTGAATTAAATTTATATGACATGCAGTGTAAACCGGATTTTAGTATATAATTAATCGGTCCTGCTGCCTGGAAAGAATAAACTTTACGTGTAAATATTTACACTTTACGTGTAAATATTTACACGTAAAGTTTATTCTTTCCAGATTTGTTCTCGGCTTTTACCTATCTAATTCAGTTCTCGGGAATAAGGAAAGACAGATAGGCAAATGCATTTAGGAACGAATATTTTCGTAACAATAAATTAAACGAATAAAGTCATCATCGTTGAATCTTATGGATTCTAAACGTGCTGTATTAAAATTCTCATATTTACACGTAAAGTTTATAGACAAAAGAAAGAATAAACAGTAAATATAGTGTATAATGCACGATTT